TATATAAAATCATTATTGTTATATAATATTATTTATAGATTATATTACAATATATATTAAACTTTATGTAAAAACAAACAAAAATACATAATCAGTAGGTGTGTCTAAATTAACTCTAGATCCAAAATATAATTTTTTAATCATATTTTATTATCATATAGTTCCAAAATATAGGTAATCAATCAATCTGTAGGTGTGTCAAGACTTTCAACTGCTAGTAAACTATTCGATCTAGAATCAAAATATAAATATCTAAAGTCTGTTTTGTGTGTGTGTGTGTGTGTGTAAACTAAAACTATTTTAAAAAATAATAAATGCAATAGTTACGTATAGCATAGTTGTATAGTGTATCTATGTATGTAATAATTAGAAGTTTATCCCAAATTTTTAATAATATTTACTATTTTTATTGTAGACATTGGTCTTTAATGTCGTAACATGCTCAGTAGCAGGACGACTAAAATTCCCGTCTGAGATTTGCTCAAGCCTATTAAAGGAGGAAGTGTCGCGCTGTGTATTGTGAGATTATCCTGACTGGCCCAACAGGTCGCATGCAATAACCTCACCGTTGAGCTCAGGGGACGCTGCAAGCCAAAACACTGATGCAGCCCATCACAAGTGACTGAGCGTTTTCATTTTAGTAATGACTTTTGGGTGGCTTCAGATTAAACGTGCGATTCAAAAAGACAGTGTGCGTTTACTAAAGCCTTCAGTAATCCCATAAACTCACTCTAATGACACTGAGACGAGTACATGAGTGCTCCCTCATACTCTTCCTCCTGCTGATGATGCTGTGCAGAAGTGATCTACATTGTCTTGCTTTATTAATAACTGGTATGAAAAGTGACCTGGACATTTTTGTGCCATTCACATGCATTAGTGCAGTGATGCTGTGGCTGCATTACCACTGCTATCACTCACATAAATAGATAAATAGAATAAATAGCTGAATACAACTTAGCAACCAAAAAGCAGTGCCATGGCATTGCAGCGTGGGAGTTTTGCACATGCAAACACACTCACATTTCCAGAAAACACACAAATTATCTTTGGTTTATTGTCAGATAATGTGTTCATGCTGTGTCCACCATGTTTTTATGGTTCACCTAGTGTCAGTTTTAAAATCTACTGACAGCCAGTTTAGTACAGTATACATTTTTAAAAGCAATTTTGTTTACATAGTAGGCCTACATGCTTTCATAAAATGTTAAAACTTTGCTCCTGCTAACCAGATATTGATACTGATAAGTCAATTGAAAAACCCATGTTGGTTAAAGTGATAGTTCACCCGAAAATGACAATTCTGTCATAATTTACTCACCCTTCACTTGTTCCAAACCTGTATGAGTTTGTTTCTTCTGTTGAACATGAAAGAAGATATTCTGAAGAATGTAAGTAACCAAACAGCTGATGGTAGCCATTGACTTCAATTGTTTTTCTATACTATGGAAGTCAATGGCTACCGCCAATTGAACCATTTGTAACCATAGTTTTTATATATATATATATATATATAGTTATAAAAAGTGATATTTTAACAGTGATATTTTAACCTTGTTAATTGGTAAAGACAAGTTCTCTTACTATAAGGTGAAAATAGCCTACCAATAATAGATAATATGTAATTATATTTTACTAATAATAGACATTTTATTTAATTTTACAGTAAAATACTGTTAAATTTAAAGACTTATGAAGTAAAAAAACAAACAGTCATCTTAAATTTTACAGTGGAAAAACAAAACAAAACTGACATTCCCACAATTCCTTGCGTGATACTTTATGTTTGACGGTATTTTGTTCAAATAGCACGACTGATGTTTTTCGTCAGTTTTTGTTATTAATTATGGGTTTTATGTTGCATCTTATGTTGTTGAAATCAACGTTTATTGCATTATTTTAGTGTCACGTTTGTTACCATGACGTTGTTTTGCATTTGTTTTAGCTTTTACCTCAGCTTGTGAATGATTAGCTTATAGTTGAGTCTCTTTTATAACTTGTATTATTACGGTGGTTATCGGTATATTCTGCAAGTCACGTACAAAACAGATTTTATCACTTTAGATGGCATGCATAGTACATTAAATATAGGCTAGCAGTTTTTACCGTTCAGTGTAACGTTAGTTAAACCTAAAATGCTTTTATTGCGAGGTGCTGGCAACCACAGCTTTTACAGTAAGTTTTTTTTTTTTTTGCATTTTGTAAGATGACATCACATGTAGACAGTCATTTAGAAGAGACCTTGAGAATCCGCTCCTGCTTCATTCAACTCATGTAATCTCCAACCTGTTGGTTATTTGTGCGCCTCTCGACGGACTTAATCTGTCCAGACTGCAGCGGGCTTTTGGCAGGAGAGTCAGAGCGGGGCATCTCTTGCGCACTTGCCTCTAGGTAAGTTAAAGGACGGGACGCTGACCCGAGTAAAGACGATTCCTGTCCCATTCACAGAGATCAGACGAGACTGAGGCTGCTGCTAAAAACAGGTCAGACTTTAATTTACAGTGTTCATGCTGACGTGCAGTTATTGCAACTAATTATACTTGCATGCAATGCATGAGCACGGTAATTTAAAGTGTATTTTTTTATTTAATTTTTTTTGCAATAGACTATTTTATTGCCTGAGTGCACGCAACAATTGATGAAGAAATCAACTTTTCTTGGATAGATGACCGTGAGTGATTTGCATGTTAAATGCACACTTCATATGAAAGATTTTTGCATGCCGATCACACTGCATTAATTGCACAGGAATGTGCATCATTGCATTTCGGACGCGTTGCAAATGTCTGTTTCGTTGAGATCTGCGCAGCCTACTCTCTCCTCGCATGTCATTCTTTGTCACTGCTGTCCTTGCTTGAGCCTTGATAGTTTCTGCAAGAGACAGAGATCGTGCTGGAGTTGTTACAGACCTGAAGGTAAGGTCAAAAACTCGCTGTTTGTAAAAGAATAACCCATGCATGCATCAGAATGCACGTCGTGAATGATGATTAATTAATGCATCACGTGCACATTAAAGGTGCAGGCTGGTTTGTTCATGAACAGACTAGATCCCGTCGTCAGTCACTGAGGTGTATGGGGCATCTCGCACCGGGACATGCGCTGCATGATTTAATGATGCGTGCTGAGCTGCATGTTTATGTTGGTATGCGATATATGAGTGGTTAGTCCACAGACGCACTGTACATTAAAGGAGCTGCATCGTAAAGACAAAGCCAGGCAAGTTCAGAATGTTCTTTTTATGTGAGCAAAGAGAGACTGCAAGTGTAATGCAACATCTTTGCATTTAATTTTTTTTTTTTTTTTTTGTAATGTTGTGCATTGCAATATGCATTTTAATATTAGAATTTAAGACGGGAAAGATGAGTCGACTGTTTATGTCCAGTTAATGTTAGTCATTTGAACGGAAAAATAATGTAGAAAAGGGTTCTGTAGGCTAAGTAATCCAATCTTACGTTGAAAACTATAGGTTTGTCAAGGTAGTGTTAGAATGTTCTGCGAAATATTGTAAATATTATATGAAATTGTGAGTCAAATGGAGTGGGAGTTCTGTTTGTTTTGAACTTTTTGAAAAAAGTTATTTTAAAAATATTGTATTTTATTTGTTTTATTTTAAATTAATATGCATTTTAATTAAATGATATTTGATTGTAATTTATGTTATTATACTTTATTAAATGAATAAATTTTTTAATTATTGATATTCATTTAATTGTTGTATTTTTAATTATTAATATATTTAGAATTGTATAAAGTGTTTCATTAATTTTTGTATTGAATATTAATTCTAATTCATTTATAATTAAATTAATTTAATGTTTTAAATATGTATCTTAATTTTATTTTAGTTATTAATGTATTTGTAATTTTAAAAAATTCCATTATTTAAATGCATTTGTTGATGAAAATAAAAATGAATATTTTAAACAGTTATCTTCATTTGAAACTATTTTCAATTAATGTTTATTTTAATCATTAATATATTTGTAATTTTACAGATAATATTTTTATGAATTTCATAACGAATTGACATGCCTTATTTTTAATGTATGTTTGTTTATTTTATTTTTATTTATTTATTTGTTTGTTGACCAGTCTCTATCATAATTCTGCAAAGATATTGTTTATTGCAGTGATGATACTGGCTGCATGCAACTATGCGAGTTCACCCGAGTCCTTGTGTTCTTTGAGAGCTGTAGTCCATTCATGCCTCCTAATTGGATGTTCCTTTTCTCTTTAGGTTACCTAATTTGTTTATTAAGCAGTCTACTAGCGGTCTACTAATAGTCTACAAAATACTCCATTCCATAGGGTTTTCTCCACCTTGGGGTACTCAGTGACACGTTTAGTGGCAAACTGATGATATTTTTGGCTTTTGAAGTTATAAAATGCAGTTGACCTTCTGAACTCAGGTAGTGAATTGTTTTAAGGTCGATCCAGAAGATCAGTCTTTAACCTGTTATATAAGCGGAATGAAAGCAAGACTTACCAGAACTCAGTACTGCTAATCCCAGAGAAGTCGTTTTATGTCGTAAGACAAATCTGTATTTATATTTGAACTCCTTTTATGAAGAAACCTCAAAATAAACACAGTAAACATGGTGAAAAATAACCAGTCATTCCAGCTTTCTCCATTTGTGCTGTCTTTGTGTGCAGTTGATGGATTGTTCAGTTTTCTAGATGTGTTTTGTTGAAGATGATGACTTTATCAAATGCATTCAATCATTTGATGCATGTGGACACCTTTATATCCGGTTTGGACATGCAAAGGGTGTAGATTGGACAAAATCCACCTGCAAACTCCATAGATATTCCAGTTAAAATAGAATCAGAGATATTTCCTTTACAAATGTGCCATGCATCAATCATAAAAGTCACCTAAACTCCAGCATTAAAGGGGTCATATGATGCTTTTTTAAAGATCATTATTTTGTGTATTTGGTGTAACAGAATATGTTGACAAAGACTTTAGTCTTTGCCACTTCAGGGATCTTATCTATGCACAATCAGCTTGTAACACTCCAAAGAGAAAGGAAAACTTGAAATCGCATCATATGACCCCTTTAAGATACTGTACGTCACACATATACGTCTCTGTACACTGACCAGCCAAAACCTGATTAGCGTTTTCTGACAACCGTCTTAAAGCCATGTAGGACAGCCAATGAGAAGCTCTGGAATTTTTAAACAGGGCATCAGAGGTCAGTGACACACTAAAACAGGCTGATAGATGAACACACATCCAATCAAGATAGACTGTCTGTCTGTCAGTAGCTGATAATGAACATGAGACTTCGCCAGAGAGACTGAGCTGCATTCTAAAGGATGCAAAGAAGTTTTGATCTTGAGTTTCATCTTTAATTAGATATATTTATTAGAGATCAAGCCTCATGGCTCCTGGAATATTTGGGATTGTTTTGGCTGCAAGTAAAGGTATATTCACAAAGCTTTGAATTATTACTCACTTTTTCCGAACAGATCGAACAGATCATAGATGTAGGTCTTTGTTGGTCACTTTGTAAATCTTTTATGTTCTTTTTTTTTTATCCTCTCCAGAAATCCCTGTAGAAGCTCACGCAGAAATGGGCCGAAAGGAGGGCAACTATGATTGGAAAAAGAGCACGGATAACATCCAGGATGTGTTTGAATTCATGGAGGTGCTCGGATCGTAAGTACACAATTCGTTCTTCTTATCATTCATTTGAAAAGCTGGGAATGGTTTATTAACATACCTTTGTCAATAGGGTAAGCTTTAGTTTTTGGAAGTAAAAATATCCTGACGGAATTTATGTCAGAGGTACAATTTTATTTTAACAAAGTACACTGTAAAAAAAAAAAAAATTTTCGAAGTTGTAAATGAATCAAGGATTGTTGGAGTACATTTACCTGCAAACCTGCAAATCACATTTTCACTTTGTAATTCTTTTAAAAAGTTCTTTGTAATCATTTGTGAATTTTACTAGCAATCTCTGAGTCAAAATAGTTGTAGACGGTACAATTTTTAATTAGAATTTGCTCAATTTTACAATTACAAAGAAACAGCAAGTAACAGATTGAAATTCATGTGAAATTTTAAAGTAGAAGGACTGAATTCTTTTGTACAACATACACCAATAATCTGTTTTATTTACAACTTTGAAAAATATTTTGTAGAGTTTAAATCCTACATTAGCTTTTCAGTGTTGCTTAAATGTACTTCCCATAATAAATAAATGCATAAAATAATTTAAAGTGTTAAAGTAATAAAGTTTTGAAAAAGTTTACATTGCACATTTTTGTTTCTCAAACATTTAAATGAAAGAAAAAATTTTTTTATTAAGTGTGTTAGAGACATTTCCAAGAAAGCTGTTTTTGCTCACCCAGCCGGTAAAGGATTGACCCCGTAAATGCCTGTTTACCCAACTTTACCGGGTTTACACTGGCCTTTAGTGCTTTATAAGCTTGGCATTCAGGTCTTTGGCATTAGCGGTTCATTCAGAAAAAGCTCATGAGCTTTAATAAATCCTACATTAGCTTTTCAGTGTTGCATAAATGTACTTCCCATAATAAATAAATGCATAAAATAATTTAAAGTATTAAAGTAATAAAGTTTTGAAAAAGTTTACACTGCACATTTTTGTTTCTCAAACATTTAAATGAAAGAAAAAAAAATTTTATTAAGTGTGTTAGAGACATTTCCAAGAAAGCTGTTTTTGCTCACCCAGCCGGTAAAGGATTGACCCCGTAAATGCCTGTTTACCCAACTTTACCGGGTTTACACTGGCCTTTAGTGCTTTATAAGCTTGGCATTCAGGTCTTTGGCATTAGCGGTTCATTCAGAAAAAGCTCATGAGCTTTAACTGTGTCTTAACATTTTCAGTCTTGTGTTGTGATTTGTAGCAATTTGATAAAGAAAATAGCTTACTGAATCATGTGACTTTTTAAAATATTGATCTTATACGTTTAATACGCATAAACCTTTTGGAGGCTGATTCCATTGAAAAGTGTATCACTGTTGGTCTGTAATAAAACATTGATCATTTCAACATGAACTCAAACAATTGCATGAGTTTGTAGGCGGGACTACCAGTTTGATCAGCCAATAGGAGGCAGATGGAGCCTATCTGGAAATGTTATTTCAGTTCTGTTTGTCGATGCCTTCCTCACTTTGAATAAACATGAATTATGATTTAGATTGTGAATAAACTGTTTAAATGTGTAATCTCAAATCCATTATCCCATCTGAGCAACTCGACGGGTCTCAGACGGTGAACCAGACACCAGTGATCCGGCCCTGCTGTCCTGAATCGGTTGAAAGAAAGCCGACTAGACAGTGAGCTCAGCAGACATGAGCAGCTGTACATTGTCTTTGCTGACTGTAGAGCGATCACCAAGCAGTCCCTGAAGACAGACACTGTGAGATCAGCACAAGCGTCAGAAACAGCTATTTGGGACCTTGATTTCCATTCAGGTTTCCATTCATGACTTAAATGATCAGCTACTGTGGGATTGGAATGTCTCAGCCAAACATTTGATTGGCTGATGTTGAGTTTTATTCAGTTAAGTCTGTACACTCTCAGAAAAAAAAAGGTTCAAAAGCAGTGACTGTGGAAGTACCTTTTCAAAATTGTACCTTTTAGGTACTAATATGTACCTTTGAGGTACCAATATGGACCCTTTAGATACAAAGTTGTACCTTTTGAAAAGATACCTCCCCAGTGACAGCTTTTGTACCTTTTTTTTCTGAGAGTGTAGCATTCAGGTCACCCTGCGGCTGTCGTTGTCATTGTATTGGTCTGTAGGTGAATCAAGGGTAAAGCAGAGGTTAAGACACCTCCAGACCGGAGTGTGTTAATCGCTTTGGCAGACAAGAACAGGGATCACAGGTGTCAGGGAATGGCTAACGGGATGGAGACAGATTTGCGATAATCTACCGGACATGGCCTGCAATGGGCTGTCTATTGCTTTGATACTGCAAGTTATTATACTCGATTATTTTCATGAAATAAGGCAAGGCACCCCATGAATAGGGTACAAACTAATAAATATGACTATACCTTACTACTTGATTGATTACATTAATAATTGCATTTATGTTTTCATTAATGTTATTTGTAAACAAGTCTAAATATCTAACTATTATCTAATTAAATATTTGCTAATTTGCATACATTTTCAGAATGGTAATCTGAACATCTGATCTTTTTTTTTTTTGATGTAAAAGGAAATTTTCACTCAGAAATTGCTAATGTATTTCACAAATATTTACAAAGAAATGGCAAGTAACACATTGAACATTAAACATTTTGAAGTAGAAATACTGAATTTCTTGTCAAATGTACTCCAATAAGCTTTATTTACAACTTCCAAAAATCATTTTACAGTAGAGTTACAAAAGGGATTTTTTTTTCGTCACTCCATAAATCGGAAAATACTGTAAACAGTTAGAAAAATAGGAATAAAATGGTGCATAAATTGTATAAAAAAATACTGAAAAAATAAAAATAAAACTAATTTTGAGAAAATGACCTAAATAGATGTAGTGCAATAAAATAAACACTTAAAAGTCTATTTTGCATGTTTTGACTAATTTTTAAAAAATCCTCAAAAATGGCCAGTTCCAAAAAATAGAAAGAAAAAAAAGTTATTGACTGTAGTGTATTGCCTTAATTAGCATATAATGTACTTAATTTGATTATTTTAAATCTTAATTATTTTTAGTAATTTTTAAATGAAATGTAAATTTTTTTTTTATTTTGCCATCACTATTTATTGTTTATATATATATATATATATATATATTATATATATATTTTTTTTTTTTGCTGTTGTGTTTTGCGACCACATTCACCTTGTCCTCAAATGTGAGGTGCGAATTAAAAACCAAAAACCTGAGTTTACAGTTCACACAGGTCCTAAAGCGACATAATTATCTAGTTTGAGGCATAAACTAGTGTGTCTAGAGAGCTCTGTCACAACCTGCCCTTGCCTGTGGGTGTTAGTGGCACCAGCGGGGCATTATGGGCCGTAGGGAGTGCTTTCCACTGACAAAAACAACCTGAATTAAACTCCCACAATCCCTCAGCAGGCTTCTATTGGACTTAACACCCATCTGGATGAAGTACAGCATCTAAAATTGGCTTATATTAAGGTGCGAGTGATTGTGTGATGAAAAAAAAAGTGTTTTTATGTATTTCATTGGCAGTTTTCTTTGCCTTTGGGCACATTCTGTGCACTGACCTTCAGTTTGAGCTGAGTTTTTATTATTTATTTATTCATGCATTTCATTGGAATCCACAGTAGTTAATGAATTGAGGACTTTCTAAAGGATTATTCACTCCTGACCGCGGGTGAAGGTAAACACGCATCTCTGAGCTTTTGCATTCAGTGCAGGAAAATGGTGTTGTGGGAATATGTGTTAGGTGTCAGGGAGATGGTTGTTTCGTGCCGCTTCATTTGTGCGTGAGAGGCCGAGATTGATTGTCGGAAGGCAGGTGTGATGTAGCACAGGTGTGATTTCAACCAGGAGTCCAAACCATTATGAATTCAGTGTTATATCAAAAATATATACCTACACTGCAATAACTGCTTATATTTTAAGTAGCAAATGTTATAAAAAAAAATTTTATACAGTTACAAATAATACATTTTGTGAGATGTACACTAAAGTTACTCTAAAGATATACTCTTTTAATATTTATAAAAAAAATTTAAAAATAACACATTTAGTAAGATTTACACTCAAATTGCATTGTTTCTTTCAAGATGTATTCTCTTAATATTTATTGAATATTAAGTAGCAAATGTCATTTAAAATTTTTATACACAAAAATAATACATTTAGTGAGATTTGCATGCAAATTACACTATTATTTTCAAGATATATTATCTTTATATTATTTTCATGTTATTAAAAAATTTTAAACGGTTAAAAAATTATACATTTAGTGAGATTTACACTCAATTACACAATTGTTTTCAAGATATATTCTCTTAATATTATTTTGATGTTATTAAAATACTTTAAACAGTTAAAAAATAATACCTTATTGGGATTAACACTCATTTTCAAGATTTATTCTCTTAATATTTATTTTAAGTAGTATATTTTATTAACTTATTTTATACAGTTAAAAATAATACATTTAGTCATGTTTACACTCAAATTACACTATTATTTTCAAAATATATTCTTTTAATATTTAAGTGTTATTAAATTATTTTATACAGTTAAAATAATACATTTAGTCATATTTACACTCAAATTACGCTATTAGTTTCAAAATATATTATTTTAATATTTATTTTAATGTTATTAAATTATTTAATACAGTTAAAATAATACATTTAGTGAGATTTACACAAAAATTATACTGTTTTATTTTCAGTATGTTTTCTTCATATTTATTTTTAGTATATATGATTAAAATATTTTATACAGTTACAAATAATCCATTTAGTATGATTTACACTCAAATTATGCTATTCTTTTCAAGATATATTCCTCTAATGTTTTTTTTATATTGTCTGAGAAGTTATATTTTATGCAGTTTTAAGACTGTCTTATTCGTCCAATCCCAGGCTAATTGTAACCTAGCCAGCTGACCTGGTTGCGGGCCTGTGTTTATCGATGCACCTGGAAACCCAAGCCATTACTGTTTCCATTACGTAAAGGATTTCACATGTAATCTTTATCCCAACTGACCAAATGACCCATTTACAAAAAGATGCTGTTTAAAAATTGGATTTTCACGGTGTAAAATACAGATGGGAAAGGTTCAGCTATTAAACACTGATAAGAGTATTACCTGAATAATATGCAGATTTGCAGCAGGTAAACCTGTGATAGCACATGTAATCTCAGCAAGCGTTCTTTATAGCCTAGATAAGACTGTCTTATTCGTCCAATCCCAGGCTAATTGTAACCTAGCCAGCTGACCTGGTTGCGGGCCTGTGTTTATCGATGCACCTGGAAACCCAAGCCATTACTGTTTCCATTGCGTAAAGGATTTCACATGTAATCTTTATCCCAACTGACCAAATGACCCATTTACAAAATTAGTTTGTAAAATCAAGTTTCTTAAATACATTTTTAAATTGTCTGCAGTATGTCAGAGTCAGTTTCTTCAGTATTTGTTATGGTGCTCTGATTAATTTCTAGGATGTTGCAAAGATGTTCTAGGGTTGCTTGCTATTGTTTTTTTTTCAGTTTAAGTTTAAGCACTAAAATTACTGGAAATAAAAAAAAACTAGAACTGAACTAAAACTAAAACTGATATCAAATAAATGAATAATACTAATTAAGTATTAAACAATTAATACTACTGAATTATATTAAAGGCAGGGTATGTGATTTTTCAAAAACACTTTAGAAAACTGATTCGGGCCGAATAGCAAAACAAACTTGTAGCCAATCAGCAGTAAGGGGCGTGTCTACTCGTGATGTGGAGGAGAGAGCTTTCAGTGCATGGTGGGACGGACATTAGCCGAGCCGAGCGACAGAAAGATAGAGATGGCGGATAAAAAAACAAAAGAGGAAAACGTCTGCGGAACGACAAGGCAAGAAGTAGGACCCGTGTAAAATATTGGATCAGCTTTCCAGTGCTGGAGAGAACTCAAGGAGCGGA